GACAGGTAGACATATATAGAGACATAGAGAGAGAGAGAGAGAGAGAGAGAGAGATATATATAGATATATATATATATATATATATATATATATATATATATATATATATATATATATATATATATATATATATATATATATATATATATATTAATATATATTATGACCTATTATGACATATTATGACCTGACTTCCACTTATCTGTTCCTATTACATTACTTTCCTATCCTGCTATTGTAATTCTTTTCCTGTTTCTGGCTGTGTTTGCACAGTATGTGTTTGCTTTTTTTATCACACTACAGTCTGCTTGAACATGGCTTCTTCATAAAAAAAATATGAAGGTCAAACATACAAAGGACTATAATAATAATGAAACTCATATAGGACGATAATAAGGTAATGGGATAAAATAAACAAAAAACTAAGAATAATAATGAAGACATCCAAATAAGCCATCATTAGAAATTCACCCCCCCCCCCCTCCCCACCCCCCAGAAGAACTATATCAAAAAAGTCATTCTTCTAAACCCTAAACTGGAATGCAGCATAAGGATCCAACAAATCATTCTAGTCAATCGTACTATTGCAACCAAAAAGTTGCCCTTCACAGTCTTTACCAGATGTCAGCATTCTTATGTAGCACTCCAGCGAGGAGGCGGAACCAAATATCTCCCCCTCATTTGACTAGAGGGAAGTAAAAGATCCCACCCACTTATCTAAAAACCAATCTGGGTGCTAGCAAAACAAAAACACAAATGATCTTGTTTTAAGCATGCACATTCAGTGTTCAGCTTTGCAGTGACAGTAAAGTGATAGTTTATGTTGTTTCACAGTAATTTATTTATTTATTCTTTTTAATCCAATTCATCCAAAGCCATTATTTTATTGGGCAAGTTCTTTCCTGTGGGCTTTCATAATCTGTTTGGGATTATTTCTACATTACAAAACAAAAATCTACTAGGATGTATGCAAGTTTAAATTATTATTATTATTAAATTTGACCAAACTATTTTGTTTTCATCCAACACAATGCACAGTAATTATCTTTACTTAGCATGATACAAAATCAAAAATCCCATTGATGAACTACTCTTTGTGTCTCCCATGGATAATAGGTTAGAATATTTAAAAAGAAATAATGGAATTCTCTGTCGGGAATTGGAGAATATTTAAATAGTCTGCAAAAGCAGTTCTTTGAGGTATTCTTATGTTGTATCCCGTCCATTTATTTATTAAAATAAGAAGAAAAAAGGTTATTATACATTTTATTTTCCCTGTTTCAGATTTGGTATATTTTTCAATGATCAGTCTTCAATCCATTTACATTTCTCTATGTGGGATACAAAACACACTGAAGAAACTTTTTTGCAAACAATCTACATGAGTAGAATCTAAACAAACCAATTTCGTAATGTTCAACCTTACTTGCTCTTCCAAACCCAGCCCAAACAAACTCTTCACAATCACTCGACTAAAACATTTTTTCTTTCTCAGTGCAGCTCATTTTTACTTCACACACACACACACACATACATACAGTTGAAGTCAGAATTATTAGCCCCCTAAATTATTCGCCCCCTGTTTATTTTTTCCCTCATTGTCTGTTTAATGGAGATATTTTTTAACGCATTTCTAAACATAATAGTTTTAATAACTCATCTCTAATGGCTGATTTATTTTATCTTTGCCATGATGACAGTAAATAATATTTGACTAGATATTTTTCAAGACACTTCAATACAGCTTAAAGTGACATTTAAAGGCTAAACTAAGTTAATTAGGTTAACTAGGCAGGTTAGGGTAATTAGGCAAGTTATTGTATAATAATGATTTGTTCTGTAGATTATTGGAAAACAAATTAGCTTAAAGGAGCTAATAATTTTGACCTTAATGTTTTATAAAAAATTAAAAACTTCTTTTATTCTAGCCCAAATAAAACAAATAAGATTTTCTCCAGAAGAAAAAAATTATCAGACATTTTGTGAAAATTTACTTGCTCTGTTAATCATCATTTTGTAAATATTTAAAAAATAAAATAAAAGGGGGGCTAATACTTCTGACTTCAACTGTACATATATACATAAAAATTTCAATTCTCTCATTCATTTATCATGCTTTGTCATTCATAAAACAAATAACTCTCACTACTCCACTCATTCGGCCTGAGCGAGCCCCAAGAGACTAACAAAAATCCCCTCTGCATTTTCTGTCTCTGGCAAGGCATTCGTTTCAATCCTCAGGGAAGCACAAAAACAGTACTCTCTCACTCAATAAATACCCCACAAAGTTTGTCCTGTACTGCCTTACACACTATCACACACACACTTCTCGTGTGAATAACCATTAATTATATCAACAGCGATGACACATCACCTCATGGGGTTATGTCAGCGATCACTACTCTGGTCCGTAACTCTGCCTGACTTCCAATTGTCTGTTTTTATTACGTTACTTACCTATCCTGTTATTGTAATTCTTTTCCTGTTTCTGGCTGTATTTGCACAGTATCTTTGCATTTCTCATCACACTACAGTCTGCTTGAATATGGCTTCTTCATAAAAATATAAAGGTTAAACATACAAATGATCATTATAATAATGCAACATATATAGAATGATAATAAGGTAATGGCAACAAAAACAAAGAATAATAATGAAGACATTCAAATAAGCATACAACTGAAAGTAATGCGATCATTAGAAATTCATCAATACATCAATAAATTCTTCAATAAGCAATGAGTCTTCAATAATTCAATAAGTCTTAAATAACTTCATGTGTATGAGTCATTAGTTTTAAGAAACCTGATAACTTGCTTTTATACTTGTGCTGAGAATTCATTAAATTCACTTTCAAACTGAAGACTAAAAGAGATCGTTGAGAAGCTTGATGAATACAAGCCCAGAGTCACAAATGAAGTGTGATCTTCCAGGCCTTGTTTAGGTCCATTAAGATGCAGATTGTTATTTCAAGGGCTTAGTTGAGCATATATATATATATATATATATATATATATATATATATATATATATATATATATATATATATATATATATATATATATATATATATATATATATATAGAGAGAGATAGATCTCTCTGTGTGTGTGTGTGTGTGTGTGTATATATCTATCTC